AATAAAAATTAATAATATGTCAAAGGGCTATGACAGTGAAGAGTGTTTGGCCCTGGGCCTGGCACATAGTAAGGAGTGGTCCATATCTCCTCCTGTAACTGCGAGTCTGTCTTGACAGTTTTGATCATTTTTGTTTTGTTTAAAACTGTCTAGGCTATATGAGTTGTTTTAATTAAATAAAGGTATATTAATACCTATTATTTACCATCTAATACTGCCCCATATAAGTAGTCCCCCATCACTATCTAGGATTAACTTGCAAAATTAGACAGAGTCACCTTCCAGTCTTTACAAGTATCAGTTTGTAAACAACACAATTGTATTATTTTTTTCTCATGTGGGTACATATTTAATATCCTCAAATATCAAAATAAATTACTACTTTAAAAAATACGGTGTTTTTTTAAAAAAAATATTGTTTTTAACGATTTTTAGAATAAATGGATATAGTTGAATTTTCCCATCTAATGATCTAAATTTTTTGTATAATTTTTATTTTTTTATTTTTATTTATTTATTTTTTTAAGATTTTATTTATTTATTTGACAGAGAGACACAGCGAGAGAGGAAATACAAGCAGGGGGAGTGGGAGAGGGAGAAGCAGGCTCCCCGCCGAGCAGGGAGCCCGATGCTGGGCTCGATCCCAGGATCCTGAGATCATGACCTGAGCCAAAGGCAGACGCTTAACGACTGAGCCACCCAGGCACCCTTTTTGTATCATTTTTAATGGTTTATAGAAAGTGAGGTCACTTGTATGCAACTTCACTTTCAAGAATGTGAGATTATCATTCAATCAACAGTTACTTAGAAAGTTCCTACAATGCAGTCCCATTCATTTGTAATGTTAGGGATTTATTTCCAGTCACATGCTTTAACACTGGATTACATTGCAGATGCAGTTTTTGCTATTCACTCTGCACTTCATTTTCTACACAATGTAAATTCTCAGTTATGTGGGGGCAGCTGTCAGAGCTCTGACACCCTTTCTTTAATAGAATACATGTTTGATTTTAGCAAAGAAAATCACCAAAAATAATTGAAAGTGTATGATTCTGGTATAATTTTTTATAGGTTTAGATCCATTCCCTCAGGGCCCCTCTGTCCTTTACTTAATTTAATTCCTCTATTCAAACCTCAATATGTAAGAGTCAGGACATTTGAGTCTGAAACTGACTTGCTGAAATACACTTGCAAACTTGCTTACTAAAGTAACAAATTCAAACATTGTCTTTAAATCAGCAACATGCCACCATGAAATTGAGGCTGTGTGTGGGGGGGGATTGTTCTCCCTACTAAAGTAATCTGAGACTCTACCTGCAAACCTGTAACTTCAAGGTCTTGCTGTGTGATGAAGTTACCAAATATGGGATATTGGCCTTTTTCTAAAATTGATTAAATTAATTTCCAAGTTCCCCCTCCAGCCTTTGGTGCCTCCTTTGACTTCATTCTTATTAAATGCATAGCCTACTCTAAGGACTGTGAGTAAAGTTGCTACTTGTGTTCCTTCCCAAAGCAGCAGTTCTAGAAGTGAGGCTATACCTACTGGCCATACTCCATTTAGTTGTCTGCAGCTGATTTATTTCCTATGCCTGAGAGGTGTCACTGGGACTTTACCCCAAAGGGCCATGGACTGTCCACGTTTAGAGGGAATGGCAAGGCAGCCTAATAGCTGGCAGTATCTGGTGGTGAAATTGAGAGTGGACCACAAATGCAGCAGGAAGGAGAGGTTTGGGAGACCAAGCAGTTACAGTCCACCCCCTGAATGTAACAGCCCATTTCCAATGAACTGCCTCTGGACATATTTAGCTGAGTTTCATTTATCTGCCAATTTGTGTATTCATTCAACAAACCTCTATGTTGCTACTGATATTTGCCACATACTTTGCTAGGCACTGGGCATGTATCACTTCAGAAGACTAATTTTGCTGTCATGGATTTCACCATCTAGCAGCAGAGACAGGCTTGAAAAAAGTAACTACATTGGATACCAAAAGCACTAATGTGAGCATGAGCATATGGCCAGGGAGGCACAGATGAATCATGGTTCTCTGTACTGGGAAGACCGGGTAAGGCTTCACAGGGCAAGTAGCCTTTGAGCTAAAAAGAGATTTCAGAATAAGAATTCTCTAAAGACTGTTATCAAAACTCCTGGAGGGAAACTCCTCCAAATTCGTCATGGCATGACTGGAGTATGCAATAGAGTAAGAGGGTGTTGCTTACCTCCCTTTTCAATTTTACTTGAGAGAGAAAAAAAATACAAGTTCAGCACCTTCTGCGGTGCCTGGTAATAGTAGATATTGAATATATTTGCCAAATGAAGGAATACATTTATATGTGCATATATTTTGAAAATTGTAGGGAAGAATACTCTTTTATTACTGTGAGAAGCTGGAGGATTCCTATCTTAGTTTTAGCATTCATACTTAGTATTCTGACTCAGGCATCATTTTTTATGTCAGTGGGGTGGAACCAAAATGAATTTGTATATTAAATGTTCATTTAGGGATGTTAACCAAAACTTTTAAAGCTCTATGAAGGAGTTTTTTTTTTTTTTATTTTGTCTGCATACTAATGAAAAGTAAGCCTGTTTTCTTTCCCTTTTCTCATGTAGTTTTATTAGTGCTATCAAATTTAATGACTCTTCTGCCCTTTTTTGCTGTCATACTATAATGACTTCAGATCCATATATGCTGATTTAGCTTTGAAAGCAAGTTGGGAAAAAAAGTAAATTACATTCTAACAGATTCTCCTTATGTTTGTATCATTTATTTTTTCTGCTTGTATTCTCCAATACGTAGTTAAGTGTTTTTTTGAAACCAGAAGCTAAGAAAGCCTGCTGTACCAGCAATACTTCTATTCATTAGTTGAGATGACTTGCATTGAGGGCCAGCTTCGTGGGTGTGTGTCCCATGCAATTACAATCACATAAGGCTCCACTCTTAGATGGGCCCTGCACTTGGTTTAATGCTCTGCTGCCGCCATCTTGCAATTCTTAGTAATATTGGAAGAAGGGGCTCTGTGAATTCTATAGTCAGACCTAATGGCACGAAGAAAAACATTAATGTTTATGTTTTGACATACATAAAACAACACTTTGACAATAATGAAAGCCTCTTAAAACTTATTGCAAGCACTCTCTTTCTCAAGTAAGCCATCCTGAGCCTCCACTCTCACTTAGATGCCCCCCACTGTAACTTCTGTCTCTGCGCATTAGTGTCAGCTGAGATGTGACCAAGGGTCCATTTTCAGTCCTTCTTTTCTTGTCAACTCACTAACTGTTTCTCTGTTCGGTCTCTTTACTTGACTTCTAGGACACCACTCTGCGCTGGTTTTCTTCTTACCTCCCTGGTAGCTCCTTCTCAACCTCCTCTGCTGGCCCCTCCTTCTTTCCTCAGCCTCCTAAAATTGGGATGCACCAGGGGCCAGGCTATGCCAACTCTCTATACCTATTCCTTCCTGAACTCATTGTTTCCTGGTGTTACATGCCATCTATATGCCAAATTTATATCTCTTTACGTGGCATCTCTACTTGGGTATCTAATAGACATCTCAAACTTAGTAAGTCCAAACTGAATTCCTGAACTTGCTGCTCAAAATCATTCTACCTGATCTCCCCCCATTTCAAAGGAAAGAATTCTCTTGTTGCTTAGATAAAAATAATAATCACCTTCAATCTTGTCTTTCTCTCATATTCCCTCTATTAGAAAATCTCGTTGGTTCTATGTTGAAAATATAGAATCAGAATCTGGTTATGTCTTATTACCATCTATTAGGAGCTACAGTTATCAATCTCTGTTATTCTTAATACAGTGGCCAGAGTGTTCCTATTCCAATGAATCAAAACTCTGTAGTGTTTTCCTGTTTAATTCAGAATAAAAGCCACTGTTCTCAGAATGGTCTACAAGACCCTCCATGGTGTGACCTACCTCCTACTCACACCTTGCTCACCTCATTCATGGTATTTTCTCTCGTAAAGTCTGGTACCAGCCACGCTGGCCCCTAGCTGTGCTTCAGTTGCAGCTCCGTGTTGTCTTCTGTGCCTAGAATGCTCTTTACCTGGTATCCACATGATTAACTCCACTGTTTTCAGATGTTTGTTCTATGGTACCTCCCCAGTGAAGCCTACCCAGACTTCTCTACACCAGTCGAAACCCCCTTCCCAGTACCCCCTTCTCTGTTACCCTGTTCTACTTTTTTCTTTTTCCATAATATTTATCATCCTCTATAATTACTTACTTATTTTCTGTTGTCTCTTTGTCTGTGCCAGACACTTTAGGTAATCAGTATTTGTTGAATGTTAAAAGAAGGAAATATACCCAAAGATAACAAATATACCCAAAGATAACCCAAAGAGGTATGGTTGTTCCTTTTTTTTCTCTTTATCTCTCTTTAATCCCTTTTTACTTATTCATGTTCAAAAGAATATCCCCTTTTGAAGATATTTCTACTTTGAATAGATGAATCTTTAATAAAGATTAGCGAACAGAAATATAAGTAATAGTATTTCCTGAAGAGCTAAAAATAATTTCAATTATATGACATACTTGAAGTTGTAAGAAAATTAATCAACACCATTATACTTTACATTTTAATATTATAGCCAGTTAAGAGGTTGCCTTCTTTCTGTTTTAATATTACTTAAATTATTCAAATCAGGAGTTGGAAAGATTTTTGTATAAGGGGGAAAGCATTGACATATCTGTAATTGTTGAGATAGCTTTTAAAATGTAGCTTATTTGCCCTTATATACTAAATATTGCTGGGTTCTCTCTTGTGTAGAGATTTGATACCTTGAAAGCTAGATGGGTTAAGATTCCTTGTTTTGTTTTGAATAAATTTATGTTTTGAATGTTTTGAATAAATGTTTTGAATAAATTTAGCTTCAGAGAGATCATGAGGTAAAACATAATGGGAAAGTTTCATGGTTGTTGATATAAAAACTATGCTTCTCAGATACATTTGTAATTATTAATAATGCCATTCATTAAAAGTAGTAATTTGTGCTTGCTTCGGCAGTACCTATACTAAAATTGGAATGATACACAGAAGATTGGCCGGGCCTCTATGCAAGGATGACATGTAAATTCATGAAACATTCTGTATTTTTTCAAAAAATTAAAAATAGAATTACCATATGATCCAGTAATTCTACTTCTGGGTAATTATCTGAAGACATTGAAAAACATCAGTTTGAAGACATATATTCATGCCTGTGTTTATTTACAATAGCCAAGATATGGAAACAACCTAAGTGTCCATTAGTAGATGAAGAAGATGTGGTATATATACGATGGAATATCACTCATCCATAAAAAATGAGTTAAATCTTGCTATTTGTGGCAATATGAATGGACCTAGAGGGTATTATGCTAAGCGAAATAAGTCAGAGTGCGAAAGACAATACTATATGATCTCACACATGGAGTCTAAGAAACAAATGAATAAACAAAACAGAAACAGACTCATAGGTACAGTAAACAAACTGTTGGTTACCAGAGTGGGGAGGGGGTGGTGGGTGGGTGAAATAGGTGAAGGGGACTAAGAGCTATAAACTCAGAGTTATAAAATTAGTAAATCATGAGTATATGATGTACAGCATAAGGGATGTAGTCAATAATATGGTAATAGCTTTGTATGATGACAAAAGGTAACTAGAATTTTTGTGGGGATCATTTTGTAATGTATAAAAACATCAAATCACTATGATGTATACCTGATACTAATAGGATATTGTATACCAGTTGTACTTCAATAAAAAAGCAAAAATAAATAAAAGCAATAATTTGTTCAATGATAAATGAGCTAGATTCCATTTAATATTCCTTTCTTAAAAGAATAATTTTTTTATTTTATTTATTTTTTTAATTTTTTAAATTTTGTTATGTTAGTCATCATGCAATACATCATTAGTTTTTGATGTGGTGATCCATAATCCATTGTTTTAGTATAATACCCAGTGCTCCATGCAGTATGTGCCCTCCTTAATACCCATCACCAGGATAACCCCTCCCCTCCCCCCCCAAAACCGTGTTTGTTTCTCAGAGTCCATAGTCTCTCATGGTTCATCTCTCCCTCCGAGGGAGAAAAGTATAATTTTAAATTATGAAAATAATATCATTACAGATTGTATAAAATAAAGAACAAAAAATTGGCCTTAAGTTTACCACTGTAACACAACCATTTTCATTTTGCATGAGTATTTTCTTTTTGCGTATTTATCTTTCACACAGTCCTAATAGGGTACATAGTTTTTATCCTGTCTTTTTTATTTAGATATATGTCATGTCTGTTTCTTCATGCTGCTATGTAGTCATTATCATAGTAATTTTCCAAGGTTACATAATGGTCCCTAGTGTAGCCATACCATAGTGAGCCTAAATATTTTCCAGGTGTTAGACATTTAAATTGCTTTCAAATTTTTCTAATCATAAATAACTTTATAATGAAAACTTTTGTGTTTGTAGCTTTTTTCTGGATCATTTTCCTAGGATATATTCTCAAAGGTGAAATTCTTGTTTCACGCAATATGAACATAGTAATGACTCTTGATATATTGCCAACCGACTTTCCCAAGTGATTGAACCAATTTTCCGCCTCTAGCAATGTATGAAAGTGAAGTTTCACTGCACCCTTGCCTGTGATTTCTCATTTCCCCCGCTCTTTCCTTGAACCTGGTATTGTTAGCATTAAAATGCTGGTATCCCATGGCAGGATGGGAATTTAGAGAGCAGTTCTGGGATGTCAGATGTCTGATTCTGTCTTTCTCTCAAAGAGAAGGGAGAGAATTGGTTGAATGTGTTTGATTTGGTTGTACGTCAAAGGATTGGGAAAAAGATACACATTGTTGGACTGATCAGTTGAAGAAATTTGGTATTTATATCAAATTAGTGTATGTGATGTAATCTGGCTAACCATTTTTGCCATCACAGAGCTTTAGTTTGCTGTTTTAGTCTGGAACAAATTGGTTCACAAAAAGACATTACATTTATATGTTTTCTAAAATCTAAAGTGACATAAGAAACTTGCAACCCAGTTTTATACTTTCCAAACATTTTCGCTTAATTTTGGAGGATCACATGATTCCATTTTTCTGAGAATTAAATAATTTATCCCTTAAGAGAGTTAAATTCAGTTGTTCTTGCTAATGGAGGTTTGGATACTGGTATTGGTCATCCAAAGCTATAGATAAAGCAGCTAGAACTTTCCTCCATAAGTAATGGTGAATAGAGGCTGAGGGAAGAATTCTGTCTTGGAAAAGAGGTGAGAATGTTGGTAAGACTTTAGGTTAGCATCATTTTAATAGTAACTAGTTTTTCTACAACACTAGTTTTGAGATATGTTCACATTCACTGTCTCACCTGTGAAGTTAGTAGAATGAGAAATTTTGTTATCAACATGCAGAGAAGTTTCGGGACCAACCCAAGGGCTCACGGTGGGTTAGGGTGTGCCTACATGATGTGCATTGGACTGTCACACAAGGCTTTTGGCTGCAAATCTGATTTTATTATACAACAGAACAGTTTTTTAAGCATCTCCTTATTCTTTCATACATAAATTCATTGAGCTCCCGCTCTACTCTCTGTGGCATAGATGTGTGCCTTCACAGATAGCCCATAGTCCAGAAGTCAGGACAGCATGTGTGATAAGTGCTGCAGCAAAGCAGATGCCAAGAGCCGGAGAGGCTCAGAGAAGGGAGGGCTGGCTCTGCTGGAGAACCAGGTGATACTTATATTAATGGTGAGGGTGGTGTTGGTGCTGGGTCCCTCAAGGGTCAGAAAGATCCACCCTTGTGGATCTCTTTGACTTTGACCAGTGAGGGCCAGTGAGATTGCTAAGAAAGCACACAGATACTGTGTCAAGAAATAACTTTCTCTATGAAGGGCTAAAGGAGATGACTCCTTCCCTCCTCTGCTGCTCAGAGTTATTCCATGTTGCTTTCTTTGCAGACCAGCTTCTGCAATGAAGGGTTGGATACCGGTATTGGTCATCCAAAGCTATAGATAAAGCAGCTAGAACTTTCCTCCATAAGTAATGGTGAATAGAGGCTGAGGGAAGAATTCTGTCTTGGAAA